CAGTCTCCTGTAAGACACATTTACTTCAAAATTAAAAATGAAATTCAAAACCAATTTCTATTCAAAACTACCCTCTCTTTGTTACTCGATATTCAGGTCATGTAAAATATTTTGCAGTCGAAAATATTTTTGCTGTTCAACATCGAAAACTCTTAGTTGCAAAATTTTTTGAATTCTTTTAAAATTGCAACTATATAAAATAAACGCAAATGTACACTAAAACTAATAGTCTGTAAAACCACTCTTCTATAAGACACATTTGCTTCAAAATTAAAAATGAAATTCAAAACCAATTTCTATTCAAAACTACCCTCTCTTTGTTACTCGATATTCAGGTCATGTAAAATATTTTGCAGTCGAAAATATTTTTGCTGTTCAACATCGAAAACTCTTAGTTGCAAAATTTTTTGAATTCTTTTAAAATTGCAACGATATAAAATAAACGCAAATGTACACTAAAACTAGTAGTCTATAAAACCAGTCTCCTATAAAACACATTTGCTTCAAAATTAAAAATGAAATTCAAAACCAATTTCTATTCAAAACTACCTTCTCTTTGTTACTCGATATTCAGGTCACTAAAAATGTTACACTCGAAGACATTTTTGCTGTTCATCCTCAAAAACTCTTATTTTTTGTTTTAGTTCGCTGAATTCTTTTGAAGTTGCAACGATATAAAATAAACGCAAGAGTACACTAAAGCTACTAGTCTATAAGAGCAGTCTTCTATAAGACACATTTGCTACAAAATTAAAAATGAAACCAAAAAAAGAAATGAACGATAAAATATAAATTAGTGTACACATTAAATCTTGATCGATAAGAGTCAATCTCAAGAAAACTATCATAACAAATTCTGTGACTTGAGCATTAACCATTACAACAAGATGTAATTTATAGTCCTCTAGTGTTAAGATAAATGAGTTAACTAAATTAGAACTTGATATTTCATCGTCGAAAGCTAATGTCGAAGCGTACCGTCCCAGGCGTCTGACCAGTTATTGACTCATACTACTTGCGATTCTAGAGGCGCGCGTTTTGATTACGCGCTCCCCTGCATTATTTGCAAGAAGAATAATTTCCTAACGAATCACTGCTGAAAACGAGCTTGAAACAAAAGCGCAAATTTGATGCAAATTCGCATCGGAAAATAATCAAAATTGATACAGTACATACTCTAAAAGGGTTGTAGAAAAACGAGGAAACAAGGAGAGTTTGATGGGGGGAAAATGACGGCGAATATTGATAAAAATCGCCAGTTTTTTTGAACGATTCTTTCTTGCCGCATCCGGCGTAATAACGATTGACGCGTCGGCCGTCACGGAAACGCGTCGACGGCCGTAGGAAAAAGCATATTTCCGGTTGGTCCGCGATTCGTCCATCGACCAGACAGAATTAATCAGTTTTTCCTGGTCGATCGACGTTTTATGAAATTCCAATCGAATCGAGTGTAAACGGATTTTGCTCGCGTGTAAATAATCCTGCGCGTAATAAATTAAGGGAAATTGATACCGTTTCGTTGCTAAATCGACTGATGACTAATTTCAATCATTAATTAGAACTTTATCGACAGAGAGGAACTCTAGGAAGCTCTAAGGGACTCTAACCTTATTAGATAATACTAACCTCAGAATCTAAGGCTTAGATCAACGTGGATAAGATTCGTAAATCTCTTTTGAGGTTTTCTTTTCTTCCACCTTTTTCCAAAAGCGTAACAATGTCCGTCACGCTCATATTCTTCTTATAATTAATCCACTAGCAAGAAATTTCATTTATTTCTTTTCAATCATTCTAACAGCCACCTCTATCGATACCTGTCTACTTGTCCTTTAATGCATACACAATTTTTACCTTTCATAATTACAATAATTGCCTGTTTACGCAAATATGTTCATCAATTATACACACACAGAGATTGAATTATGCATCGATTTTTATTAACGTTGTAACAAATCGCTGTGTAAATCATTCAAATTATGATGCACGGATAGAGAAATTATTCAGAATGATATTCTCATTTCAGAGTAATAACTCGATGTACAACGTGATCATTCATTAACAGAGAAAAAATCGGTCAGTTATAAAATTTTACGGTCAAGTGAATCAATCTTGAAATTACAGCTCATCGAAAATATTTTCACAACTGCGATGAATCTGATAACTCGTGTTCTCTGTGATTTAATTTATAAGTACACAATATTTCGGTGTTGGAAAAATCAAACGCGAGTCCATCTTGAAATATTGAAGAGCCATTTCATTCAAGCTTAATTTCATTAACTGGAAAATATTTTCACAACTGCGATGAACATCGTCCAAAATATTCTCCGTGATTTATTTTATAAGTACAAAATATTTCTGTATTGAAAAGATACTTCAGAATCGAGCGACAACATTATGAATTAAACAGAAACTCTTTTTAGTTGACCTTCAGCCTGAAGATAGCTAAGTTAGGCAGTCACGTGACCATCTCCACGCGATGGCGTCTCAACATCATTTTCTAAAGATCCACCTCGAAAATAGCTTTCAAATACACGAAAGATCGCATTGTGTCCCCAGGAAATCTTTCGTGTTATTAGAAAATTGAATGTTGTTCTTTCAGCTGGCTCGAGAAGCTCGATAATTTCTCACGACATAATCAAGTCGATAGATAGCTGTTGTTATTGCGCGGAGTTCTATGACGTGAAACTTCGAAACCTCGGCTGCGTAAACTCCGCAGTTTGTGTCGGCAGAAATTCACGGGAATTTATTGAGCTTCGTACACTATAATTATGCGGCCTTTTATGCGCAAAAAGAGAGAAAAAAAAAGCGCTACAAAATCAAATTCCTTTCGTTGATTTTATAATTCGAGCTGAAAATTTTGCATAGGCGATTGACGAGTTATCGATTGGTTTAAAGACAAAAGTTTAATCCGAAAAACGAGCTCATTAAATAAAGTTGCTCTTAATTCCATCCGAGGCGATTAATCATCCTGTCAATTATTTCTTTTTCCCCTTCAAGTAGTATCTCTCCTCGGAATTTAATGTCGATAAAACGTCTACGGGTGCGTCAGCCGAGTTTTATCAACCCGCAGACCGAATCATCGAGCGAATTGAATGAACGAATTAAGTTTTCATTGGCTCGATGCATTGCTATGCTTTCTTTATCTTCCTGTCTACTTAACTCCGAGTGTTCCCTCTCTGTTTGTCTCTCCGTAATCTTGTTATTTAATTTTAGCTCCTCGACAAAGTCTTACATAAAATCTTGTAGTAATATTTCATTAATTTATTTTTCTAATAAATCGTTACAAATAGCTGGGAGTTAAAATTGAAAGGAAGGTAGAAAATTAAAGGTTTCCAGCAGAATATTAAAAATTTTTGTTAGCAGGGTAAAAGTCGGTTAATTGGGAGTGCTTAAGGACAGGTGCCATCGCGAATTAAAGAGGAGTTTAAAAACGGTCAACGGAGTACTTTCGTGCAATTATATTTCAATTTAACTGGAAACATTGTTCCTCGGCTCACGTTGGTTCTTAATTAGGACATTAAAGAAGAATTACTTTTAATTTCTGACTCTCTGAGTAACGACTTCGGTTTACTGTAAGTCAAGAAAGCTCTGCGACAATCGTTTCCCCCATATTTTTTCTGTTTTTCGATTTCCTCGTAATCCTCGATCTTCCTTGTAACAAGCTTCTATCCCTCCTCGATTTTCTTTCTTTTCCTCCGCGACGAACGAATGTACGTATCGTTTCCGAAGTAGACGGTTGAGTTAAATCCTTCGAGACAACTTTCGATTCTTTTGATCGTACAGTCAAACAGGAAACGAAACTTTTTGCGACGGAACTTCCCAAACTTTTTCCTACTCCAACTTCTATATTTTCAGAATCAATTGATCTCGTTTGAACGTTCCGTGTTTCCGATTAGCGCGATTAAAACAATTCGCTTCGAGGTTTAATCAAGTCTTTGTCCGATTAATAATTCGGTTGATTCGATTATTCGAGACGCAACTGCGATTGTAGTCACGCTAATTAAATCACGGAATTCAATGCTAAGTTTCGACGTTCACCGGTGCATTCATGATTTTGACAAATTAAAATTGGAACCGGGATACTATCCCTCTATTGTTAAACCTTGCTCTATGATTGGTGCGTTGCGTCTACATAACGCAGCTATAATATTACAGACAATGTTACAGTATATCAATTTACTGTCATACTATTGACTAGTTATTAAAAATTCAGAATAGCGAGGGGTTAAATGATAGCTGACATGTATGTAATTATTCCTCATATACATCATTTTATCTTTTCTTGAATGAACAAAAATTATCTCTCCCTAAATTACGCATGTGTGATCTACATAACGCAGCTATAATATTACAGACAAAGTTACAGTATATCAATTTACTATCATACTATTGACTATGCAAATTATTAAAAATTCAGAATAGGGGTTAAATGATAGCTGACATGTATGTAATTATTCCTTATACATATATATCATTTTATCTTTCCTTGAGTGAACAAAAATTATCTCTCCCTAAATTACACATATGTGATATACATAACGTCGCTGTAATATTACAGACAGACAAAGTTACAGTATATTAATTTCGTATCATATAATTGACTATGGAAATTATTAAAAATTCCAGTAAAATTGTTCACGAAGGGTATCTCAATACTCAGAATAGTACAAAAGGTTAAATGACAGCTAACATATACGTAATTATCCCAAACAGCCTTTCCTTAAATGAACAAAAATGTCTCTCCCTAAATTACACATACATGTATCTTATATTATATTTCTATATTTTTATATATGTTTAACATGTACAATATGTTAATATTTCAATATTGGTTCTATTGTTGTATTGTACGTATAATTCCCCATTCAAAAAGAGCAAAAAATAGACAAAAGTAGTCAAAGTCCAATAAACAAAAACATTATGGCGGCCACTAACGACTGGCTCGAAATTCGAGAGAAAAGCACGTTCCTCCGAATGCGGTCGAAAATTGATTCCCTCTTTGACCGAGTCTCGATCACGTTTCTAATCCTCGATCCCTCCGGCTCGTACACTTCGTTCTTATTTCCCCGCTCCCCTCTTCATTCACGTCAGAGGCGTCGCGACGATCGGACGTAGCGAGGACCAGCTAGCTGACTGGGAACGGTTCAGAGTGCCCTACGACTGCGTCGCGTTCGCATCCCCTGCCTCCTCGATCGTGGTCGATCATTCCCTGGAAGGTGATCAGTGACGTCCAAGTGATCCCAGTGTCATCTTTGTGATTACGACTCCTGTTCTTCAAACTCTACAATTTTTAAACTCTACAATTTTTATTAGAACTGTGCGATTCATTAAGACTACGACTGATTAAGACTGTACGATTCTTCAAGGCTGTACGATTGATATTAAAATTGTACGATTGATATTAGAACCGACTTCGAGAACTGACAATGATCTACAGGAGAGGCAGTTGACTTGCGATGTCCGAAGATTAGATCGATCGATCGACTTTCTGGGAGAAGGCAGAACGAGGTCCAGAAGATCGAGAACGATGCGTTGAGGAGCATCGATCGGACAGAGCGCGGGGATGAGCGAGGCGTTCAATTAAAGCGTGCCAGAAGCGCGCCAGCTCGAGCGAGGAGCACAAGAGGAAAATATTAGTCGCGAACACAGCGTGCCATGTTGTTTCCCGTTATCGTAGCCGCGAGACGTTCGCGTTGAATCGAGATTTTTCTGTAAATCTGTGTCAGTGGAAGTGCGATACAAGCTACGATCGAACTGATCGGATCGATGTCGAACGATCGATCTGACGCGAGTGACACTTGCCAGTGATAAGATACACGGATTTTGGAAGAGTTCCAGGATACAACGGACAATGAAGTGGTGCTTGGTGATGCTGATTTTGGCCGGTGTCACGCGGGCCGACAACTCCGTCGATTCGTATATGGCATTCAAGTGCCCGACGCTGAATTCGCAGGAGGAGATCGACCTGAACGAGGTAAGATTTCTTTCTTACTTTTGGTTATGGAGCGACGTGACTGTAATTTTAAATTAGAGTTCAATTTTATAAAATCTACTTGGTTATGGAACAGCTTGACTGACTATAATTATAGTTAAAGTTTATTTATTATAGTTTTTAAAACATCAAGTATTATTTTTAAGAATATTTATACTAAAAATCAACCTAAATGAGGTGAAATTTCCTTCTTATGAAATACTATTGGTTATGGAACAGCTTGACTGACTATAATTTTGAGTGACCATAATTATACTTAAATTTTATTGACTATAGTTTTTAAAACATCGAGTATTATTTTTGAGAATATTTATACTAAAAATCGAACTGAAGTGAGATTTTATTCTTACAAAAATTATTGCTTATGAAACAGCTTCACTGACTATAATATTGACTGACCATAATTATACTTAAATTTTATTGACTATAGTTTTTAAAACATCGAGTATAATTTTTAAGAATATTTATACTAAAAATAAACCTGAATGAGGTGAGATTTTGTTCTTACTAAATAAATGCATTGGTTATGAAGCAGCAACGTATAATTTTAAATTATAATTCAATTTTGTTATATATAATTTGAAAACATCGAATATAATTTTTCAGAGAATTAAAAATCTGTCTCGTAACAAGGTTTGCTCAAAATAATAGCTTCTACAGCGCAAAAGAGAACAATGTTATTGATTGTAGCTCACTAGCTCAGTTTTTTTAGCTACGCAAACGCACTGCTCCTTTACCGATATAAGCTGTAATTTAACCGCGCTCGAATTCATCGTGAAAAGCTCTTAAAGTCATATTTTCCTCGTATCGAGTGCTTTCAAGATACAAGGGAATATGAATGGAGTAAATTCATAATTTACGGATGTGAAGATGGAGTACATTGAAATTGCGTTAACACTTTTCTGTGTCACCCTTGTATGGGGTGACTGTGTGGAGATACTGATGTAACATCTATGTTATTAAATTTTAATGCAGATGTAACATATATTTATTATGAAGTTCATCTTGAAATACTTGCATTTATGAAGTTGAGTTATGTAAAATAAATTTAGTAAAATATTATGAACTGACATTTATATTCTTCAAAATTTGTGCATTTTTCTAAGAGTACATAGTCGAATTAATTATTTGGAATTATAGAAAATTAATATAACAAAATATTGTCAAGTATCTATGGTATTTATATTTTTCAAAATTTGTTCACTTTTCTAACTGTGCATAGTTGCATTAATTATTTGGAATTATAGAAAATTAATGTAACAAAATATTATCAAATATCTATGGAATTTATATTTTTCAAAATTTGTTCATTTTTTTAACTGTATATAGTCTCATTAATTATTTGAAATTATAGAAAATAAATATAACAAAATATTATCAAATATCTATGGAATTTATATTCTTTAAAATTTGTTCATTTTTCTAACTGTACATAGTTGCATTAATTATTAGGAATTATAGAAAATAAATTTAACAAAATATCATCAAATATCTATGGAATTTATATTCTTCAAAATTTGTTCATTTTCCTAACTATACATAGTTGCATTAATTATTTGAAATTACATTAAATAAATATAACAAAATATCATCAAATATCTATGGAATTTATATTCTTCAAAATTTGTTCATTTTCCTAACTATACATAGTTGCATTAATTATTTGAAATTATAGAAAATTAATGTAACAAAATATTATCAAATATCTATGAAATTTATATTCTTCAAAATTTGCTCATTTTTCTAACTGTACAAACTTGCATTAATTATTAGGAATTATACAAAATAAATATAATAAAATATAAAAATTTTTTGGAAGAGTTTAGGTTAGGTTTGGACATCATTCTCCATTTGTTCACCTCCCTAACTGAACACAGTCTCATTAATTATTTGAAATTATAGAAAATAAGTATAACAAAATATTATCAAATACCTATGAAATTTACATTCTTCAAAATTTGTTTACCTCCCTAACTGTACATAGATACATTAATTATTTGGAACTGCAGAAAATATAACAAAATACGAAAATTGTTAAAAAAATTTAGGTTAGGTTTGAACATCATTCTCCATTTGTTCACCTTCCTATACACAGTCACATTAATTATAACTACAAAAAATATAACAAAACAGGAAAAACTTTGCAAAAATCTAGGTCAGGTTTGGACATCATTCTCCATTCTTCACCTCGCGGTACACAGTCGAATTAATGTGAACTATATAAAATATAACAAAAGAACATTGTTGAAAGTCTAAGTTAGTTTTAAAGTTTAGAAATAAAAATAGTACCCAAAAGAATTTACAACCGCTTCACTGCAGTCAACAAGATCTTATTTTCCAAGAATGCAAATTTCGCTCCAAATCGAATAATTTGTTTCCGACACCACAGTCGAGTATCGATGCAAGAAAATCACGCAACCCGCGATTTTCGAAGGTGAATCGTCGAAGAATTTGCTGGTTGGTTGGTTTTACGATTCTTTTTTTTGCAAGAGGGGCTGGGAAACGCCTGATGTTCCTGGAATACCTTAATTGCGTCATTAAATTCTTGTCACGTAAACTGGGTCGACCAGGATTCTTCCGTGATTACTTTAAGACAGTTGCACGAAATGCCTCGTCGAAACGATTGTTTGTTTCAACGAGAGATTGATTCGGATAGAATTGAGAGCCTTCTAATTTTCTTTGAATCTCGTTTGATTGCGTCCTTCGTAGCGCGTTACCGCCGTTTAACGGTTTGATAAACGCTAATTCGATGCTTAACTTGTACGTTTCGCTTTATTTCTGTCCGTTTCATCGCGTTAATTACGACTCGGTTTTTCGTCCGGGAACATGAAAGGGTAGAAAATCGCGTTTGCAAATTCTGTGCAGCCGAGAATTCTGATGTTCGTTAAATAATGCGCGAGTTTCTCGCGCCTGGCATTCTCCGAAATGTTATAATCGAAAACATAACGCGCAAAGATTTCACGGCACGATTTTTTCCACCGAAGGAAATTTATCGCCGAAAGATACGGATCTCGGTTTTTTGGGATTAATGCGATTCCGATAACCGCCGGTTTGTTGCGAGTTTGAAAGGCGCGACAGCCGTTGCTCTTTTTCTTCCATCCAGGAAAAAATATTGTAGCAGTCCGTTTTACAGGCGAGAATTAAAAATAGAGGTAGTCGAAAAGACAGCTTTCGTTGCCATGATAAATGCAATATCGATAACATCGAGAGAACGTTTATTTTGTTCCGCGGGTGACGATCAAATTAAAATAAAATCACTTTACTTCGGTTTTATTTTTACGGACAGATAAAAATCGATCTGGATGAATGGTTTTTTGAAAATCGGCTTTGCTTAATGGAGCCGATATCCATTTTATTTCCTAGCATTAGTTCAGATATTTCGGCCAAAATTCGATACCGAATATAATCGATACTTGACTCCTCAATTTTCTCCTTTACGTCACCTTCGAAATATTTCTGTTTTCGTTTCATTTCTGGGAGCTTTGGTTAGTCGGTGCAACGTTATTGGAAGTCCATCGAAAAGTGTTTGCTTCGAATCTCGTCTGGTAAAACGCGGAACTTCATGCGGAATATTAACAAGTTTAATCTAACTTTCCAATTTGCCCGAGTTTTCTTTTAATTATTCAATCGTATTCGATCTTGTCGGGCAATTATGAAAATTTCGCAAATACAGAGTACGAAACAATGACCATAGAATGGAGATTAGAATATGGAGCACGAGGTGTGTGCTTTAGGGCGGCTGGAAACAGAGCATCGAGGACACGGTACAAAAACCAGCGCACAAAATACGTTCGCATCGAGCCTCTTCGAAATGCGTCTCTTTGATACGTGTTACTGGATGGAAAAGTTCCGGTACACAGTCATTAATGACTTATTTACTTAAGTAAATTGCGAGGGCTCTATTGAGCGAATTTTATAAGGCTGGAATGATTAATGGTTTATTCGGAAGGCAATCGATTCGCAGCTAGGAGAAATTGCTTGGATAGGTGCGAAAAGTAGATCGGCAATTAGGGGATTCTGGGGGAGCGCAACTAATTGTCTACTTAAATTATGCTTCGAGTTTATACGTTCTTGGGATGTTGAGGCGATGTGTACTTCTTGTATGTATGTACTTGATAATTTATATTGATAGGTGCAATTAAATTTAGAACTTATAAAGTGTATAAAATTCATCAGATTCAAACTTCATAAAATTTAACAAATTTAAATTTCATAAAAGTCAACAAATTTAAACTTCATCCAATTTATAAAATGAATAAAATTCATAAAATTCAAACTTCATAAAATGAATAAAATTCATAAAATTCATAAAATGAATAATATTCATAAAATTCAAACTTCATCAAATTCATAAAATTCATAAAGTGAATAATATTCATAAAATTCAAACTTCATAAAATTCATAAAATTCATAAAATGAATAATATTCATAAAATTCAAACTTCATCAAATTCATAAAATTCATTAACTGAATAATATTCATAAAATTCATAAAATTCATTAACTGAATAATATTCATAAAATTCAAAATTCATAAAATGAATAATATTCATAAAATTCAAACTTCATCAAATTTATAAAATTCATAAAATAAATAATATTCATAAAATTCAAACTTCATCAAATTCATAAAATGAAAAATATTCATAAAATTCAAACTTCATCAAATTCATAAAATGAAAAATATTCATAAAATTCAAACTTCATCAAATTCATAAAATTCATTAACTGAATAATATTCATAAAATTCAAAATTCATAAAATGAATAATATTCATAAAATTCAAACTTCATCAAATTCATAAAATGAAAAATATTCATAAAATTCAAACTTCATAAAATTCATAAAATTCATAAAATGAAAAATATTCATAAAATTCATAAAATGAATAATATTCATAAAATTCAATCTTCATCAAATTCATGAAATTTATAAAATTCATAAAATTCATAAAGTTCATAAAATTCATAAAGTTCATAAAG